TTCCAATAACCCGTCTTCGACTAGAATATAAGGCGAAACATCATCAGCTGAAGAAGGGTTATTAAAATTAGCCCGAAATAAAATACAGGTGTTCTTCAATAAAATAACACTAAAAGTCTTTAAAAAAAAGTTAGAAAAAATTCCAAACTATTTACGTAGTTAAATTTACAAAATTATATTTATGGCTATCAAAAATTTGTTAGTAGTGCTAACCTTTGTGCGGAAAATAATTCGAAAGAATATTTAATTAGTTTTCAGCGGTGTTATTATGGAATGACTAAATAATAAATAGACGTCTTCCTCCAGGTGAGGAAATGAGGCTGATGCCGTACTCAGCAGCCATTCAATAAACAGGGCTCAATTCAATTAATTACACCCACCCTCAGCTATTCGAAGGAAGTTCCTCTAAATACATTTCCTAAATTTCTTCTGACAGGCTTCCTTTTAGGATCGGTGTAGATTTTGATTTGTCACCCGTAAAGCATACTAATTGTGTTTAATTTTTTAAAATATTTTTTTAAATTAACGATCCAACAGCTAACGATTTATGCAAATATATCTGTGTTATTGGCACGATATTTACCGTCGGCAGACATATAAACAGGCGCGTTTGAATAAATTCTTGTGGAAAATTCGGTATAATGATCTGTTTCTTACAAAATTGATGGCAGCGGGTTATGTATAACAATGCAGGCCTATCATTTTTAAGTGCGGAATTCGCCAATTAACTGAATTTTATTTGATAGAAGGCTAATCCTTTTAACGAATTTTTCATCCAGAAAACCGAAATTTACAAATCAAAGCGGATAATTTTGATAATGTTTTCGTGGCCTAGATAATTGAGGAAAACTTCCCCGTTTTTACTGATAAAAGGAGGCTACCGATATGGGATCACCTACTTTAATGAAACCTCACTAGTTTTCGTGGTTCGCTTGACCACTTAATATCTTTCAATTAATTAAGGTTTTTAGTTGAGATAAAAAAGCCATGTCAAAAGCGGGATTCGAACCCACGATCTTTGGCTAGATACGATGCTGCTCTACCACTTCAGCTATCGTGACATCGATCCACTCGGAGGTCTTATATAAACTGAAAACCTTAATTAATTGAAAGATATTAATTGGTCAAGCGGACCACGAAAACTAGTGAATTTAATAAGTTAAAATGAAGTATACCTTCACTAAAGCTCTCTATGCCCAGTTCATTTGTCGCCGAGAATCAAATAGATTACACGACATTAGAAAAATAGCAAAAAGGACGGAAAATTGAAACGTGGGGTTGAGATGGGAAGATAGTGTCCGTGTGTATCGAGGTCTCGATAGCTCAAGTGGTACAGCAGCGGCGTATCTAGCCGAAGATCGTGGGTTCGAATCCCGCTCATGACACTGGCTTTTTTATCTAAACTAAAAACCTTAATTAATTGAAAGGTTTAATGAAACCGTTTTTTGATGATACTAGGACGAAAAATTTCCGGCACAAGTTTCAGTCTTCTGTTCATACATAGAGTTGAGAAAAACAATTAAAAATTTGCATATTTTCAAAAAAATGTTGTTTCTGAATTTGGCTCCTTCTGAATACAAGTCATTAATTCCCGATTCTCTAAATCCTCTTTATTTACGCAAAATTTATTTATTATATTTAGAATTAGAAAATATGTAGGATTGTAAATGATACTAAATCAATAAAAAGTTCTAAAAACCATTTACATATTATGTGTCTCTAAGAGAAAACAATAAAATCTACAAAAATCCTTTAAAACGTTTTATTTTATATTTCTTCGCAAAATTTATTTACAAGACTGGCGTTCCGCAAGAGAGTATAACTAGTATATAACGATAGAGTATATAACTCACTTGACGAAGGATTGAAATAAATCCGAAACGTGTGGATAAAAACTGGTTGTGGTTTTTTTGAGATGACCTTTTATCCCACCTTTAAGAAGGAAAAATCATAAGTTTAACCGTTAAGTCGAAATATAAGAAAACATCGTTACTCTAATCATGGGAGATATATAAAACAAAAGAAACCATTGCGTTAACTCACCTGAGGAAGGATTAAAATAAATCCGAAACGTTGTGGATAACAACTGGTTGTGGTTTTTTTGAGATGACCGATTATCCCACCTTCAAGAAGGAAAAATCATAAGTTTAACTGTTGAGGTCGAAATATAAGTAAACATCGCAAGAGAGTAGAGTATCCTAGTTCTAATCCTGTACGGCGTAATATACCTTATTTCACAACCTTGGCTCCTCTCCCCACACTACTTATCCTAGAAGCAGAGCAAATGAACACACTTAGACTTCATTACAGACTGGTGCAACTTGGTGGCGCATTAAGCTAAATGAACACATGAGCCCTGGCCTTTTAACATAACCTTAAACCAACCCTCCGAAATACGGATAAAGCTCCTATTAACACCATTATATACAAAGTTTCAGCTATGATGATCACTCAAACCTCCTAACATGTAAAGAATCTAATCTTTTCAATCAAAAGTTCTCCGTCAAGGCTCAACGCTCAGTTCTACGTCACTAGTCAAACCATCTTCAAAAATCAGAACCATTCCACAACTTCCATTCCAAACTTTCCTTCCACATCAACCCACTTGCCTACTTTAACCCTAACGATCCTCCCTGCCAACTAGGAAGACAGTGAACTTGTGACCTTTCAACATAATCCTAAACCAAACCTTTTAAATACTGAGAGTTCCAGCAATCGCTCTTCCCCATCTCATGTTCTGACAGATTTTTATTTCTATTGTATATTACTTTGTGAAGTGCATATATTTTTATACAGAAAGCAATTAATCATTAAAAAATATTTTTTAAGGTTCTAAGTCTTTTTAAAGGTTGCAACAGCAGGTAGACAAGAGGAGTTGTCGCAATGTTATTACCACTTTTGTGATTTTTGATAAAATAAAAATCAGAGGCGTTTGGAAGTCGAAAAATTTCTCCCCCTCCCAGATTTGTATTCAAGAGATTAAGGAGGTACCGAAACCAGATAACAATTTTTTTCATATCCATTCACATTTTTACCGATGATACTATTCTCCAATAATCATTTATACCTTCCTACAGTTAACCACTTCCGCTATCTCGGGCTGTATATCGACAAAAGACTGTCTTGGAATCCACATTCAAAACTAAAAAAGTAGTCACTGATTAGACTTTACAAAACACTCTACAAAACGATCAAAACTGACGCTTCACAACAAACGACTGATACACGAGACGATAATTAAACCCTGGGCATTCGGCATTGAACCAAATGTTCCAACTATCATCGGATCCGGACTTCCCAATCCAAAATCCACCGAAAGCGGTCGTACGTATCTTATCACACAATCCACAAAGACCTTATAATTCTTTTTATAATGGATGTCATAAAATACCGATACTTAAAATTCCACAACTCCCTTTTATTACGTTCTTTGCGTTCCCCTTCACACGAAGCAACTCGTTTCCTTACGAGTGTAAAATGAAAATGAAAAAATATCTGTGCCACAAACTCAACCAAATCAATCGCAAAAAGACAAAAATCGGGACATGATCCAAATAAATTATAAAAAAATATTAAATTCACTAATTTCGTCGTACGCTTGACCAATTAAATCATTACAATTAATTAAATTGAATTCGAATCCCGCTCGTGCAATTAACTTTTTTTCATCTCAACTAAAAACCTTAATTAATTGTAATGATTTAATTGGTCAAGCGGACCACGAAATTAGTGAATTTAAAGAATTAATATGAAGTACACTTCACTAAAGCTCTCCGTGGACATTTCAATTGTCGACGAGAATCCAAACCGATTACACGACATTTGAAAAATGGCAAAAAGGAGGGAAAACTCATAAGGTGGGGTTGAGATAGGAAGTTGATGTCCGAGTGGATCGAGGTCACGATAGCTCAAGTGGTAGAACAGCGGCGTATCTAGCCGAAGATCGTGGGTTCGAATCCCGCTCGTGCCATTATCTTTTTTTCATCTGAACTAAAAACCTTAATTAATTGTTATAAAAATAACCTTCAATAAATAAATGTATTGAGATTTTAAAAAGTATAAAAATATAAGTGATCTATGACATACGCAAATAACTCCTTGCCATTTACAAAAAAAAAAGCAGGCGTTCAAACAACTTGAGAGAGAGTCCTTCCTCGCCCTTTGGTGTCTCAGCTCGCACTGCTGAGCCTGCGGTTGGGGATTAGCTTATCCTTTGAGATAATCCTCGTTCAGTAAAAATATTGTTATACTTTCATTACATTCAAATCCGTCAGTTTTAAACCTAACATCCCGAACTTCCCCAATAATCCCCAACGAGTGTCTTTGAGACCTGTCGGGCAGTAAGACAGCATGTAGACCCTAATAGAAATTTCACCACTGGCTGATTATTCGCACCCTAGCGCCAAATTTTGTTTTATAGTGCCAGATCTTGCAATTTATTTTAAGATTTGTATCGACAATTTTACTTGTAGTATAAAACTTGGCTACATCGCTTGGTAAATACGTCAAAATTGTATTGTATTTGGCAGTTAGGCACTGTATGAGAATCGTAGATATTGAAATACATAAATTCTGACCTAACGGTACAGGGGCTTAGAAACCTCATAATATTCACTGCACTTAAGGGGGACTTGGTCTCTGTAAATAAATTAGAACCGGACATATTAAATGTAACATTTCAAAAGTCTTCCTTAATTCATCCTTATATTTTCTCACTTGTATGATTATTTACTCTTCTTGGCATAACCTGAAAGAACAGATTTCTCTTTTTAATGACGTTGAATTTGGATAGATTCAAGGGGAGTTATGAATTTTTAACTGGAACAGGGGACGAATTGGAGAAAGCCCAGATTAATCCAGCCGGTCCCCCAGTTCGCCTTTAATTACCCCAGCTGGAATTGTTTTTCCTTCTAATCAAACACGTGTCATATACGGACTGTTTTAAATTTTAATTAATGCTAAGTTTTTATTAGCGAACAAATTGTAATACTACGACTCACTTGGTCAGTCCTTTGAAGGCCTGGTCCTCGATGAGGGTGATCTTGTTCCCGTAAAGGGTGAGGATCTCGAGGGTGTCGAGCCCCTCGAACGCCTTGGCGTGGATCTGAGTGATCTTGTTGTGGTTCAAATTCAGGATGAGGAGGTGGTGTAGGTTCCGGAAGGCCGGAGACGGCACGGTCCCAAGCGAATTCTGCGACAGATCCAGCTGGGTCAGGCCAATTCCTTAAAAAAGACAAACAAAATGTGGAAATTTAGTTATATTCGATAACCAACTAAATTTAAAAAAGGTTAATTCCAACATATACAAAATCTATTTTTTTTTAATCAAAAAGATTAAAGTTTATACGTTATGTATATTACATTGGTTCGTTTTTAATCAACAAATGAGAAACTAAAACTAAAAACTTTTCTGTTTAGACGATTGGCTAGAAAACTTTCTTGTTGTTGTGAAAAGATCTTATATTTTTAATTTCCTTTCTAAAATTGTTTGAATTACTTCTCGAAACTTTTCACCCAGACTCATCAGCAAGTATTCAGCAACATCAAACAGGAAAACTTGCTAAAATAACAATTATGATTTAAATAAATTAGTGTTCATTTAACTCATTGTTATTCCACAATTTTAAAGCAATAGAGGCGTGAATAAAACAAAAATTGTACATTTAAGCTGGTTTATTATTCTTCCAATTATTCGAAAGTGAGGAAAACGGGTCAGAAATGACTGAGACCTAGCCGTAATAAGTCACCGGAAAAAAAGGCAATCAGTTTCTCATTCTGTTCGAAAAATGGGATTAATTGCAATCGTTATCTCTCCGGCCGCAGGATCAAACTGTTCCAATCGGAAGAATTTGTTCTTTTTTTTATGCGTGCGCTGAATTGCCAATCTCTATGTTAATTAGTGGTATTCGATTACGCTCTTGACTTTGGAGCTTATGCCGACAAAGGTTCGGTTGTCGAACCGGTAGAAGAAAATTCAAAGTTTACGTTTGCACTTGTTTTTTTGTTTACAAGATGTTTTATACGATTTATTATCGTTTATGGTAATAAGAAACGTACACGCCACTGGCGTCATAATGGTTTCAATTTTTAATTTTAGTATCGATCGAATAAATGGAGTTCTTATCGATTTATTGTATAAAACACAAGGATTAAAAAAATGGAAAATAGTGAATTGTTAGTAGTAACAAAAGACTTTATACAAAGGTGCTGCCTGTCACAAACGCTATTTAACTTTGTGTTTTGTAATAAATAATAATTTATCATTAGGCACACCATCTAACGAAGTTTAAATATTTATATAGTTTTTTTTCAATATGATTATATTTTTGCATATCTACTAATTGATCTATCCACATAGGAACATTTTTAAGTCATTCTTCTCAATAACTTGAGTTAAAAAAAAAAGAAAAAAAAAGCGCGCTTTTCCAAATTCTTTATTAGTATTTACAAATCAGTATACACACAAATGCCAATATATGAATATATTTACTGGTTAATCTGTCCATTATATTATATACTTGAAATACAAATTTACTTTTTAACAATTTTTTTCATTGTAATATTTTATACGCGGTATTTTCAAACCGTTTTCCTTCTTTTGATAAATAATGTTCAATACGGTTATTTTCTCGAACTTCTCAGAATCGCAAAGCAATTTCCGTAATACCGCAAATTTTTGATGATTCCATACACTGCCATTTTCTGCGTGACGTGGATTATGGTTGGATGTACAGGGTTCAACTTACCGTACTGACAAACTACTCAACCTAGAAGAAAAATTTGAATGGGAAGTATTATTCAACGCCTAATGATCCAAAAAGCGTTCAAGAAGATGAATGGTACAAAACCGACCCAATATTCTGCCAAAATTTGGTGGACTCAATGAAAAATACTGTTTTTCAGTTGATAAAGAATTGAGGTCATATGAAGTATTAATTTAATAATTTATGAAGTGTAAAATATTTTTTAAAGTTATTGTTCACTGTTAAAATTCGTATTATATATAAACGGTTTATTTAGAAAAATCGTGCACGAAAAAGATTTGTAATCGTTCTATAAAATGTATTATAATTTGTTGAATTCGAGAGGAAAGATCAATAATGAGGTAGTTTAGAAAAACGTCGTTTTCATTTCTAGCCGATGTTTCGACGTTTATTCGGATCATCTTCAGGGCCCGGCTGAATTACAAAACTCCAGCACTACCCAAAACAATGTCATCGACAGTAAACGTCATTAACAATCCAAATCACACAAAGACATACCAATGAACATGTCCATTCCATTCATTTGCACATTGTCACACAAATTACATAAATTTCTCCCCTCAGAACATATTAAAATTGCCTTTAATAACTACAAAACAGTACACACTTTTTTTCGAAAGTCGATGACACAACAACAACAGCCTACAAATCCGATGTAATTTATAAAATTAAGTGTGTGAATTGCCCAGCTGCATACATTGCAATTGCATCGCATCATCAGGAAAAAGGGAAAAAACAACCCATCTATGACTCAAGACTCGAAAAACCTAACCCACATCATTGGCAACACACCATTCTGAAAAACAAGCCAATTTTGATTTCGATAATATGCAGATACTAAACACTGAAAAAACAAATACAAACGCAACTTTTTTAGAGATGGTTTACGTTAACCGATACCCACATTAATTACAGAACAGATACATACAGACTCGGCCGTAGCTACGCCAACGTCGTAAAGCAAATAAATTGCATATTAAACTTTATTTAATCGATATCGTCTCCGAAATAATAAAAGCATATTTTGAAATGGTTGTAAGTTACTGCAAAAACACCTAAAATGATCTTAAAACAACCAAGAAGAAAGAAGAGAAGAATAAATATTTATTTTTACATTTCCATTCCCTTCGTTACCGTCCTTAACAATTAATTTCTTTTTTAATACTGAATAACCCCGAATCACAAATCCAATCCCGAAAATCCCCCATTGTCGCCTTCCTTTGAGTTAAACAAAACCGCCTATGATCAAAGAAAATTTTCCAGATTTAAGGCGTTCCCCACGCTGTCACAATAATTTAAAAACGTCACAATACAAATCAACGTTTCACAACAATTTAAATCAATACCAATATAACACATGAACACTTTATGTGAGTATTAAATACTTGGTTCAAAGTTTATTTTTACATCTGCATTGTAATTTTACCAATCAGTATATATTTTGTAATTCACCCAGGCCCTGAAGTTCACCCTGAATAAAGGTCGAAACATCGGCCAAAACATGAAAAGGTGTTTTTCTAAACTACCTATTTCCTATTTCTCGACCGCTCCTCACTAATCCAGCAATTATGAAACAACCGGTAACTTAAAAAAAATAAATAAATAAACAAATAAATAAATGTACATATGTGTTTATGTGTGCATCTATAAGCATGATAGAAACAGAAAATCATGAGTACATGTTAGTCGTATCTTCAACCTCCGCTGTTACAGAGGATCTAAAACAAAATGATTTCTGTCTATTATATGATCTTTTAGGCTGTTTTTTAAATTTCAATTAAACATTGATTTCTTCATCTCTACTCACATTGCTCTACTTTTAATGGCCTCTGTAGTAATAATTCGCCCAAGACTTTCACCTTCGGGATAGCCGTGATCGTATAGTGGTTAGTACCTTGCGTTGTGGCCGCAATAACCCAGGTTCGAATCCTGGTCACGGCAATAAATTTTTTATTATTTTTACAAAAATATAATTATTAAAAAATTAAGAACGTACGATACATTAGTTTTGGAAGGTCGACTGAATGACATAATTATTTACCTCTTTCTTGCTACCTTCCCCTTCTGGAGAATTAAGAGTTAATCACAGATTCTTTTCGGTAGTGATTTCACTGGTTATCTTAAATGATCTACTTATCGATCCAGTTGTACTAATGTTTGCAACTTTCATTTCTTTTTACAAACAATATCGTACTAATACTGACAGAAACAGGAAATGCACAATGTACTTGTTAGTCGAGCCTTCCACGCCCCCAGAAACTCCACAACAAAACGATTTGTTCTATTGGGCAATTATTTAGTTATTTTGTTTATTGTAATTCTCTATATCTATCTATCCAATATTAATTGTTTATTAAAATTTTGTTTATGTATAATCATAAATTATTTACTTCTCCATGACAACATTGTTCTACTTTTAACGGCCTCTGAAGGATTAATCCTCCAGTACTTTCATCTCCGGGATAGCCGTGATTGTATAGTGGTTAGTACCTTGCGTTGTGGCCGCAATAACCCAGGTTCGAATCCTGGTCACGGCTAGTACTACCATGAACGTTTTTATTAAAATACCACGTCCAAAGCCTTCCCGTGTTGTAGCGCATATTTAAAAATAAATTGTTAAAAACTACTCCCACAATATTCAAGAAATAAAAATAAAAAATTTACTGCCGTGACCAGGATTCGAACCTGGGTTATTGCGGCCACAACGCAAGGTACTAACCACTATACGATCACGGCTATCCCGGAGGTGAAAGTACTGGATGGATTAATCCTTCAGAGGCCGTTAAAAGTAGAACAATGTTGTCATGGAGAAGTAAATAATTTATGATGATACATAAACAAAATTTTAATAAACAATTAATATAACATATAGATAACTAAAGAATAGTCCAATAATCAAATCGTTTTGTTGTGTAGTTTCTGGGGACGTGGAAGACTCGACTAAAAAGTACATTGTTTTATACANATATTGTGGGAGTAGTTTTTAACAATTTATTTTTAAATATGCGCTACAACACGGGAAGGCTTTGGACGTGGTATTTTAATAAAAACGTTCATGGTAGTACTAGGTCGAAAAATATTTTTAATATAGTAATTTATACTTTTCTAAAATATACTTTTCTGCTTTTTCTATGCATATATAACAAGGTTTTTATACATCAGTCGGTTTGTTATATTAAGAACGATGAGGGAAAAAACATTTTAGGTGTATTACATGAAATTAGATAAATAAAAAGTTATAAAACCAAAACACGCTGCCTGTAAAATAAACCCAAAAATTGTTTTGTTGAGATAAACAAGCAACATTAAACATTTAAGCATCCCTTTTATTTATTTTATTATATTTTTTTACGAAGGTATTTCAACTACCAAGTTATATGAACCCTCGGAGTGCTGATGTTTTTGAAAAAAAGCCCATTTGTAAGGATGTCGGTTTCGAATGCAGGGCCGCTGGATTCG